CAGCCATCAGCTCAGCAACTTCGCACACACCACTGCTCTCACTCCTCGCTGTCACCTCCAGTAGGCTGAACACCATCACTCCACTTACAGAGGAATAAATGGGACACAAACAGATTAGTTCTTATTTGCTCACAGTCACAGTTTCAGTGTCCATGTACTTGGTCTTTGCCCTTGCCACCTGAGATAGGGTTTCATGAAGCCCAGGCTGGACTTGAACTTGCTATGTAGCTCAGAATGTCCTTGAACTTTTATGCCCGTCTTCTGTGGCACTGGGAGTGGACCAGGCCTGTGCCTGCTAAGAAAGCACTTTACAAGCCGAGCTGCAGCCTCAGTCTCCAACTTCAGTATTTCTAATAAAACCAACGTTATAGCATGCAGGTCTGTGTTTTTGCTTCTTCATGATTAAAATGATCAACTCTTCTTTGTGCATCATCGTATTTTTATTTTAGATTAATATTATTTTATGCTAGGCACTCTGCTAAGAAATTTACATGCATTATTTACTTTTCCCAATAACTTTTGAGGTAGAACCATTATTAGTCCCATATAGAAATAAGACTGAAGGTTACAAAAGACAAAATGCTCTAAAATTAGGGATGGGAAATGGAAGAGCAAGGATTAGAGCCTAGATCTATTTTAATTCTGGATGTTCAAGGGAGGGGGAACACTGGCATGAAGGGTTTAGAAGGTAGTTTGAAACAGGGTGCTGGGGACAAGGTGGTCTGTTAGGTTACTTTAAGGACTGTGTGCTTTTCCCCTATGAACTTTTAGATGTCAGTAAGTAAGTAACCTTAACTAATGAAGGATAAATAATAAGACCAAAATGTGTTCTTCTAAAGTTTGGATGAAGTGTGAAGACTGACAGAGGCATGGGTGAGTACACTGGAAGGCTATTTCAGTACCCCACACAAATCAGACTAACAAGTAGACGACAAGGAGGACGAAATAGCAAGGGTTCTAAATGGGTCAGATTTGGATCATATTATGAGATCAAATCTATAGCTATTGGCAACTGATTGGATGTAGAGGGTGATGGAGAGGAAAAGGGCAGGAACGACTCCATAATATGGACCTTCTCATGATGAGCAAGGTGTGCACGTTGCCTGAAGGATTTCCTGCAATCTTTACATTCGTACGGCTTCTCTCCGGTATGAATTCTCTGATGGAGAGTGAGGGAGCCACTATAACTGAAGGCTTTCCCACAAATATTACATTCATACGGTTTCTCTCCAGTATGGATTCTCTGATGCTGAGCAAGGCCGGCATTTTGGCTAAACGTTTTCCGACATTCCTTACACGTGTAGGGTTTCTCTCCAGTGTGACTTCTCTGGTGCTGAGTGAGTGAGGAACTGTTGCTGAAGGCCTTTCTGCATTCGGCACACTCATAGGGCTTCTCTCCAGTGTGAACCCTCTGGTGCTGATCAAGGTAAGCAATCTGGCTGAAAGCTTTCCTGCAGACTTTACATTCGTAAGGTTTCTCTCCAGTATGGACTCTCCGATGCTGAGAAAGGTGTGCGTACTGGCTGAAGGACTTCCTGCATTCTTTACATTCATAGGGCCTCTCTCCAGTATGAACTCTTTGATGTACAATTAGGTATCCACGGTGACTAAAAGCTTTCCCACACACATTACACACATACGGTTTCTCTCCTGTATGAATTCGCTGATGCTGTGCAAGAAACGAAGCATTACTAAAGGCTTTCCCACAGTCAATACATTCAAAAGGTCTCTCTCCAGTATGAATTCTCTGATGCTGAGTCAAGTGTGCAATCTGGCTGAAGGCTTTTTTACATTCTTTACACTGGTAAGGTTTCTCTCCGGTATGAACTCTTTGATGCTGAGCCAGATGTGCATTCTGGCTGAAGGCCTTCCTACATTCTTTACACTCAAAAGGCTTCTCCCCAGTATGGATTCTCTTATGCTGAGCTAGGTTTGCGTTTTGGCTGAAGGCCTTCCCACACTCAGCGCATGCATAGGGCTTCTCTCCAGTATGAATTCTCTGGTGGAGAGTAAGGGATGAGCTCTGGTGAAAGACTTTCTCACAGTCGTTACACTTAAGAACTTTCCTTTCTACATGCGCCTTCTTAGGTTTCACCTCAACAGACTTTTTTCGGTAGCTTCTCTTTTGTGGCTCACACTGATGTGTTTTTTCTTTGGTAGAGAAACTTTGTGGTATATCTAGTATTGCATCCTGATGGGATATTTGCCAAGATGGATTACACCCATTACTTTGCTCTTCAGGGACTTCTTTATGAACGATGAGCAATTGATCAGAATGTACCTTCCGACCTCCCAACCCATTCTTAAGCCAGTGTACACTTCCATGGTCTTCTTTCCAATTGGGACAGTCAAGGCTATATCTATGATGGCTTCTTTCCTTTGGTAGGACTTTGGCTGATTCTTCATAAATATCTTGCTTTGATGAAAATTCAATGCCTTTGAAATTATAATCCCAATCTAAAGGAAACCAAGAAAACAGATGTTTTAAAATCCATTCATTATAAGAAAAGAAAGTGCTCAGAGAAAGTAAAATACTAAAAAAAAATTAAAGAATTTAACATCTCTTAATGCATCTTAAAAACTAAATTAAGAAAGGTGATTAGGCTGGGTACAGTGGAACACACCATTAATTTCAGTACTTGGGAGAATGAGGTAGGAAGTTGGTTCTCTGTGAGTTCGAGGCCAGTCTGGTCTACATAGTGAGTTTCAGGACAGCTAGAGCTACTCTATGGTGAATTTTTACCTTCTAGGAAAGGTGCTTCTGAAAACAATTTTCTTTGTAATACGTTCTAACCAAATATCAATTTTCAGTCGATTGCTGAAGCCACAATATCATCATGAAAACATCATTTCTTGTCAAACTGCTGCTTACTTTTATTAACTTAGTAAGGCTTTAATTTGGCTTCTCCTTATTAGTCCCAGATAAGATTACCTCTTTTTAAAAAAACTACATTTAGTCATTTAATCCCAGCACTTGGGAGGCAGGGGCAGACAGATCTTTGTGAGTTCAAGGCCAGCCTGGTCTACAGTGAAAGTTCCAGGACAGCCAGGGCTACACACTGATCAGAGAAACATTGTCTCGGGGGAAAAAAAAAGACAAAGAAACCCTGTCTGAAAAAAAAAAAAAAGAAAGAAAGAAAAACAAGAGCGCTAGTAAGACAAGAGCGCTAGTCGGCTCAGGGCATAAAGGCATCTGCCATTCCACCCGATGACCTAAAGCTGACGTCAGACCCCACACTAAAGGAGGAGAGAACTGACTCCTGAATGCCCGATGACCTAAACTGACGTCAGAACCCACACTAAAGGAGGAGAGAACTGACTCCTGAACTTGGTTCTTTGGCCTCCATACACATGCACACACGTACACACACAAAGCAAATAAAATATTTTTAAAAATTTAGAAAAATAAGAGAAAAATTGTCAACATCAGATCTAAAAGGAGTTAATCATCATGTTCTACAGAACTAAAAAGATAGTTTTATAAAGTAAATTAAGTTAATCAACTGTACAGCTCATTTGAAATGCATGATCTCTTGAAAGATAACGCCTTACCAAAGATGAAGCAAAGAATTAAATCACCCAAATCCTCCTATATTCATTGCCTCTGTTCCCTACACATGTTTAAGGGGAAAAGAATACCATTCTGGGAAATCTTTCCGGAAAGCAGAAGTTGACAAAAGACTCCTGTTTTCATAAGTCCATTATTATCTTGATAATGAAGCCAGATAAATTACAGGCAATCCCGCAGGCCAGTGGAGTGTCTAAACACAAATGCAAAATGCTGACCAAAACCATAGCAAATCAAACTAATAAAATATGGGAAGCATAATTTTGACCTAAAATAAATCCAAGGAATGCAAAGTTAGTTGAATATTGAATAATCATCAGTGCTGTTCACTATGTTAATGGTAATATATTATCTCAACATTTGCAGAATGAGTATTTTTAATTATAAAATTTTTAGCAAGAAAGGGATCTATCTGATCTCTCTCAATTGATATGTAAACATAATCCCAAACAAAGCTCCTTGAGTAGAAATTCTCAGTTTCATTCTAAAATTGATATGAACTGTAAAAGTTCTGAAATAGTAAAAGTCAATTTTATAAAAGGTACTACATGGTGTCAAAGCTTAGTGTAAAGGAACCTGTGTCAAAACTCAAATTGTTTGATTTATATGGATGCAGTTTACCATCTATAAATATATCCTAAGATCAACACTACGTGAGCTGGGCAGTGGCAGCGCACACCTTTAATCCCAGCATTCAGGAGGCAGAGGCAGGCAGATCTCTGTGAGTTCAAGTCCAGCTTTGTCTGTAAAGCGAAATCCTGTCTCAAAATACTCCACTTCACAAAATATAATACAACCACTATATGATCAAATACAATAAAACAATCTGAACAAAATGTAATTGAAGTGGGATTCCCCTCTGTATGTTGTGAATATCATTGGTTAATAAAGGAACTGCTTTGGGCCTAGAGCAAGCTATAGGGAAACAGAGGTAGATGGGGAAAACTAAACTGAATGCTGGGAAAAAGGAGGAGTAGTTAGAGAGAGGCCATGGAACTTTGCTGGTAGGCCATGACCTCATGGTGATATACAGATTAACGGAGATGGGTTAAACTAAGATATGAGTTGGCCAATAAGAAGTTAGAGCTAATGGGCCAAGCAGTGATTAAATTAATACAGTTTCCTTATGATTATTTTGGTTTTGGGCAGCCGGGATGAACAAGCTGCCTTCCCTCAACAGTAACAGAACAAGGAAATTATCCTTCAAACAACTCAAATGAAAGGGAAGTTTAAAACTATAGGAGAGAATAGTAACAAAAATCATGAACTATCAGAATCTACAGGAGACAGCTGAAGATACCCAGAGGAAATCTCAGAGCCCTTGACAATTTATCACCAATAAGAGAGACTGAGAGCGGCAGGCTAAGCTACCCTAGCAGCATTATGGCGAATACAATAAATGGGAAAATCAGGAGGAAAGAAAAAGCCAAAACCAAGAATTGAAAAAGAATAGTAGGGGGCTGTAGGGATAAGCCCTCCCCTTGGGGGCGGGCTGCCCTCGGGCGTATGTTTACTGATAAATTGGGCGCGCAGACACTGCGCGCCCCTTCCTGCCTGCTCCGGGTACTCCGCTGGAACCTTGGTTTCGTGAGTCTGGTTTTGTCATTAAACTTGTTCAAATACCTATTATCATTGGTCCTCATTAATCCAACCGCCACATTTGGCGCCCAACGTGGGAGCTGGAGAGCTGGCTTGGCAGTTAAGAACACTGGCTGCTCTTCCAGAGGACCCAGGTTCAATTCCTAGCACCCACATGCTAGCACCCACTTCAGTTCCAGGGGCTGTGATGCCAATACACTTAAAATAAAATAAATATTAAAAAAAGGAAGAAAAAGAGAATAGTAATACAAAATAAATGCACACACTGGAGCTTGAAAAATACAACTGATTTATGAATAGCAACCTAATACATTACTTAAAATAGCAAACTATTATAGATATAAAAGAATGAGTTATGAGATTGCTTTGCTCGGGTTCAGGGAAACACAACTGATAATGTAAATGAGAAGGATAACTACTAGGGAAACACACAACACGTAATGAAACTACAGAGACGTTTAACTACAGAGGATGTTGAGAAAACTGTCAATACTGCAACCCTTTAATACAGTTCCTCACGTGGTGAACCACAATCATAACACTATTTTCATTGCTACTTCATAGCTGTGATTCTGCTATTGTTATGAATCATAATGTAAATATCTGTGTTTTCTGATGGTTTTAGGCGACCCCGGTGAAAGGGTTGTTAACTCCCCCAAATGGGTAGTGACACACAGGTTGAGAAACACTGTGTTAGATTAAAACAAACAAACAAACAAACAAACAAACACAAAAACCAGTGTCCTTGACCACAGCTAGGAAGTAAACATTCCCAGGTACCTTTCCAAAGCAGCTACTGTCCTCCCTACCTACGTTACAAAAAATCACTTGTGGTGGGAATGGCTAACAGGAAGTCTCACTCGGAGAGGCCATCTGCCTGGAGCCCTGTATCCATCAAAAGCTCCTGGTTCCTGGGCTTCCCCTATCGGTGTGAGCATCTGACCCGATGCTCCAACGTCTCTCTGCAACTTGCTGTTTATTCTTCTACTGCTGCAGGCTGTGTACCTAATAAACTCACGCACTCTAAACCAGCTCGGCATGATAGACCGTCCTCTGCAAGGACCACATGCTTTAAAGAAACCTACTCCAGAAGCGCCAACAGTGAGCTGGGCCTTCGCCAACATCTGAGGCTGACCAGCAAGGGGCTTCCACTCACCAGGGCAGGCATCTCTCGCTCCTTCCTTCTGCACTATGCAGGGGTCCTTTCCTTGTTCCAGTAATGAGATCACAGCTGGCTTGTAAACAGGAATTCCTGCTTCCAAGAAACAGAAGAGGAATTAGTCACTCTCAGAGTTCAAGTCCCCTCCTCATCAGGAAGGGGTGATGTTACAGGTGGGAGCTAAGGGAGACGGGAAATATTCTTTAGAATGAGCGACACAAAGGGACAGTCTAAAAGAGCTGCCAATTCTGTAAAATGTAACTTATAAAACACAACTCTCTTTGAACTTTTGGAGTGGGTTTGCTAGCTCGCCCAGGCTGTTTCCCCAGGCAGTCCTCCTTCCCCAGCAAGTGGCTCTTCTTGGTTGTCAACCTGACTACATCTGGAATTACCTAAACTCTAGGGGCTGGGTACACCTGAGAGATTTTTTTTTTCTTAATTAGAGCATCTGAGGTGGGAAGGCCCGCCTTTAACCTGGGCCACACATTCTGCTGACAGCCTACATAAGGACATGGAAGGAAACTTGCTCTCTTTGCCTGCTTGTTCTAGAACTTGCTAGTAACATCCATTGTTTCACTGACATTAGAGCCTACTGTGGGATTCTGGTGTATACTGAAGACCAGCGGAGACATCCAGCCTTGTGGACAGAACAACTACAGGATTCTTGGACCTTCTGTTAGTAGATGGCCATTGTTGGACTAGCTGTACCACAGCCTGTAAGACATATGTGTGTGTGCACATGCATATATATATATATTTATATATATAAACATAGTAGATATACTATATGTGTATATACACACACATATCTATTCATCCTATCAGTTCTGTTCCTCTAGAGAACCCTGACTAATACACCAGTCCTCTGGAACTGGAGGTATATGCCACTCCATGGGCTTAAGAAAGAGAAACTGTACCAATAAAATGGCTCAGTGGGAAAAGAATTTGCTGTGTAAGCTTGATATCCTGAGTTCCATCCATGGAACCCTGAAAAGGGGAAGGGAGAGAACTGACGTCACAGAGTTGTCCTCTGACCTCCAAACACACACTGTGGCATGTGCACACAACTCCCCAACATACATATGCGCGCGCGCGCACACACACACACACACACACACACAGAGAGAGAGAGAGAGAGAGAGAGAGAGAGGGAGAGAGAGAGGGTAATTTTAATTTTTTTTAATAAAAAGGAGAAATTTAGTAAAGCAACTCAGGGTATCCCAGAGACATTTCACAGAGCACAGCCCATGTGTAGAGTTGGAATTCTCCAGAGATGTCCTTACCCAGCGACACTAGGCTCCTATAGTTCTCCAACATCACCTTCCTGTACAAGTCTCTCTGAGCATCATTCAGCCATTCCCATTCCTCTTGAGTGAAATTTACAGCTACATCTCCAAACGTCACCAAATCCTGAAATGATATAAACATGTTCTGGTTCAAATCCTTACATGGGCTTCGATTAGACAGTTAAAGCTGGAACATGGCAGCACATTCCCGCAATCCCAGCATTCAGGAGGCAAATGTTGGGCGTTCTGAGTTCCAGGGCAGCCTGGGCTGCACAGTGAGTTCAAAGCTATATTGTGAGACCCCATCTCAAACCAACCAACCAACAAACAGCAAAACAATACAGCAGCACAGAAAAGAGCTAGCACTAGCTAAACCGTCTATGCTTTGGGTTTTATGTGGCTCAGGCTGTCTCAAATTCACAACCCTCTGTCTCAGCTTCCCAAGTGCTAAGATTCCCCTCTTCTCTCTCTTTCTCTTTCTCTTTCTCTTTCTCTTTCTCTTTCTCTTTCTCTCTCTCTCTCCCTCCCTCCCTCCCTCCCTCCCTCCCTCCCTCCCTCCCTCTCATAGACAGGGTACAACTACACAACACAAGCTGGCCTTGAACTTTTGGTCCCTTTGCCTTAGTCCCCCAAGTGCTAGATCTACAGGTATGGCCACAGTAAACTTTTCAGGCACAAGTAGCCGGTTCCCACCCCCAGACTACTCTAAGTGTTACATCCTCAGTTTCCAGCCCCTGGAGATGCAGGTGGCCACGCTCTGCCCCGTGGGAAAAAAAAGTCCAAGATCAGGTTAAATACTCCCATCAATCCCTGAGCTTGCCCCGAGATCAAGCCACAAAATGCCAACAATCACAGGCCACCCTATAAAGCTCTGCCCCTAAGAAACCCTTCATGAAGCCTGCCTCCTGTTCAGTTGCTGCTTCTCTCCTGATCAGAGGTGGCCACCCTCTTCTGTCTTTCCCAGTAGATCTCTTGTGTGAGGTTTGCTGTGTGGTGTGACTTTGTGGTCTTCCTTGGCTCCCAACTGCTGGGGTACCTTTCCCTTCAGAGCTGTAACAGAGCCCCCGTCTTACATTCTAAAAACTGCACGTCTAAAAACTGCATTCTAAAAACTGCACGTCTAAAAACTTGCCATGCTTGGTCTCGGTGTTCTCTTATGGGAAGTGCGTAACTTCTGAGAAGCTCTTGTTGGAGTAACACCAAAATCAATACAGTGTACAGCACACAGCTGACTCATACTAAATACCAAAGAACTTCTCCATTTGGAGAAAATGGGATACACGGGGCAGGAAAAAAGAGTGTTATGTAAAAAGTAGTGGATGTGTATTACCTTAGAAAGTTAAGAATTTATAAAAATGATGTATAATTAGATGCATCAAATAAGGCAGAAGAAGAAATAAAGTTGTGAACAAAGAACAGATGAAATAAAAGAAAAACAAGGAGAATGCTAGGCTTACACAATCGCCTGTAAGGAACAACACTGAGGGAAATGTACTAATAAAAAGTACATTATTTTCATATTCTCTTTATAACAAGAATACTTTAAAATGTAATCTTTATTGACAATAATTATTTTTTGAGATCCTATTTATCTGTTTTATTTGTGTGCATGAGTGTTTTGCCTATATGTGTGTCTGTTTACTGTGTGTGTGCCTGAAGTCCATGGAGACCAGAAAAGGGCACCAGATCCCCTGAGATTGGCATTACAGGTGACTGTGGGTGCTGGGAACCAAACTCTCTCTCCTCTCTCTCTCTCTCTCTCTCTCTCTCTCTCTCTCTCTCTCACACACACACACACACACACACACACA